CAGCCCCTCTAAGGAATGATTTATGGAGATCAGGATGTGAATGGTTTTCCTTAAATTCCGTTTTTGCTTTTCCTTTATTTATACACTGGAAATGTTATATTGAATTTGATGGGATGTTGGGCATCTGCTGTGGAGCTGTGAATGGTAATGGTTTGGATGCTAACTGTGCTTTGATAGGGAAAAAAAATTGGCCTCAAATAAAGTTTTGAGGTGACTCAATTCAACCAGAGCATGTAGTCCATCTGGTTTATAGTATCATGTGGCCTGACCTGGAGTAGTAGTTTTTCTTTGTGGGGTTTTCTCCTCTTGGTTTTTGAAGTCTTTATCCTTTTAGGCTGTTGTTGCATGCTGTGGCTCACAGGTTTCCAGCATACGCCAAGTTTTCAGATTTTTTACCCTGTTTTCTCCATTTTAATATCTTTTAGCATTTCATGGGTCATTTTGATTTTTATTGCAGCCTCAAGTTGATGGTGGTTTCAACCTTAACCTGAATTCAAACACCTTGTCAGCTCCCAATCTGATGAGTACGCTAGGCTTCCCTGCAGTTACTGTGTCAGATGATCAGAGTCGTCCTACAAAATATGCAGGAGATAATCTTCAACATAGTGCCAATCCTTATCGATCATCTGACAAGAACAAGATTCTTATGTTCAAATCCAGTTCTTCCCTTCCATCTGGGGGTGCCTTGGGTTTTACTTCAGGTATCAGGAAAACAACATCTCCCAATTCTCATGGGTCGGCTAATACCTACAGTACTGCACCTGGAAGAGGGTTTTATGCTAATAGGTTGCAAACACATGGGTCAGCTCATTCAGCTCCTGTTTGGCCTGAAACTGGAGATTCAATGGGTAATATTCTGCACTACTAACCATGTGTTTATACAGCTTTTAATAGGAGCTATCTATGGCTTTGTCCATATCTATTTGTTTTAATATGATTAAGGTGGCAGCGAATTTATACTCCGAACTGCGGGAAGAATCTCAAGTCCATGCTCGTACTGGTAATGCATACTTTGACCAGGTATCTCCTTCGAAATTTATTGCACATATTTAAACTGATACATTAATAGATTAGACAATTTTGTTAGGAAGCAATGGTATAAGCTGTTGAACCATGTTTCCGCTTAATTTCTCAACCACATTTTATCCTTTTATTATTTACATTTTTTAATTTATTTATGCCCCTTTTGCATCCCTGGGAATGATTCAGTAACTTTACAGTTATCAACCAAGTTATGTCAGGAATCAATTAGCGTAGATATTCAACAAAATAGAAATAATTAATAGAATACAAACTCCTATAGTCTTTTAAGGTAAACTTCTTTGTATTTCATTTTGAGCAATTCAGCTGTTGAACGTTCCCAACCCCAAGTCTAGTGATCACGGCAATAAGGTATCAGTAACAACTACCCATTTAATTATCCCGAATAGCCCTTGCTTTCCAAAGTTGTTGCTACTGTACAAAGCACAGAGTGCATCTAGTCATCGACCATGAGACAGGTCGAAGGCGAATCTCTAAAGTTTTAACTGCCATGTCTAATATTGAATGTGTATTTTGCTCTCCATATTCATCACTAATGTCTCTGTTTTCTCTCTCCCCCCACTGAACTTCGTCTGTTCAACCTATCCATATTGTTGTTAATTGATACTGCATTTTTAAATATATTTACAATAGGCGCGTCAAGGATTTCCCATTGGCAATAAGGCTCTAGCAAAGGAACTTAGTTTGAAAGGGCCACTGCAGAATATGCGTATGAAAACTCATGGAATTGCTGAAGAATCCGTATACCGCCAGAGGTTTGTCATTTCTTTCCTGTTGCACTTGGTTACTTGACATGGTGGTTAACGGACATAAACATGTTCTTCTGTTGCTGTTATTGTTATTGTAATTGTTTCTTAACCATCACTTCCTTTCACCCTACCCTTTCTCCTTTCTCTATCCGACCATCTTTCAAACTCACAGCTCTGATGAATCAATATACCTGAGTTTATTGGTTATGAATGTTGGTTACTGTTTGTTCTTATTCCGGTAAATATGATCTAAATTCACGCCGTTAATGTAGTCATGCTAGCCTGTTCTGTTTGACTGTTATATGAACTTTAATAATACAGGAACCGAGTTCATCCAGAGATTGTTGGAGGTCAGCAACAGATCATAGACTTGCATGGATTGCATGTCACTGAAGCCATTCATATGCTCAAGTATGAACTATCAGTACTGAGGAGCACAGCACGGGCCGCAGATCAGCGCCTGCAGGTCTACATAAGTGTCAGAACTGGCCACCAGACAAGGGGATCTTGTGTTCCAGCTAGACTTCCAGTTGCCATACAACGTTATCTCCTTGAAGAAGAGTGCCTTGACTATACTGAACCACAGCCAGGGCTACTTCGAGTTGTGATATATTGAAGCCATGAACTCGACAGCCAGGAGTTTTTGACAAAACAAGAGAAAAAGAAAATCAAATGTAGCCATTTTTGTATCTGTACATGGGAGAAAATGGAAAAGTATTTAAAGTCTGAAAAATCAAGAAAAAAATCGAAAGGGGGTTGGTAAAAAGGAAAAGAAAACAGAACGGCTGAAGTGAGAAGTGCGTGATTAATGTTTAGATGTTTAGATGAGTGTAGCAACTGCATTTCGGTAGAGCATCGGAGGGAGGGACGAGGCTGACCCTAGCCAGCAAGTTCTTTTTCTCCTTTTTGTTAATTTTGTATCTTAAATTTATACTTTGTTAATTTCCTCCTTCAATTACATGACGATTGTACAATTCATTAAAAGTAGACTCTTGTGCTTATATTTGACTATTTCTAGGATTGAAGCTGAAAAAATCTTCACCATTTTTGCCTTTTCCCCCAATTATATTCTGTGTTCGTTCATGTTCAGGTTTTGTGGTTACTCCCTTCAATAATGTTGTTCGAACTTGATACTTGTCCTTGACATTTCCCTCTTTACGATAAACACGAAGAAAGGAGGATCGAGGAGCACTCTTTATGAGCTTTGTAAGGAACTGTTATGGCCCATGCCTGGATTCCAACCAATAGAACACAAATCAAGGTATGTACCTTTCATCTCTTTCTTATCTACATTTGTTTATATATATCATCCCACATTCTCCCAAGGTTTTGTTTTTCGATCCGCTGCCGCATTCCTTTGCAGTACTCCGATGGAAATTGATGAAGGCGCCGAAAGAATGGGGTGTACCAACTTTGTATCAAAATCACCTTGATTGTACCGAGTTTAGGCATTGTTGAATGCACCGGAGAGGCAAGAGCTGAAAAAGAGCTCTTTTGACCCTGCTGCACTCCTCATGCTTTACAAGTTTGAACAGAAAGGGAGGCTCTTCATTGGCAGATACTCATTCGAGATATCGAGAATAGTGCAGTATTGTTTAGACTTTAGAGGTCGTTCATTTCGTTCAGCAGTATATATGAAACCGATTCTTAACCTCAAGTCATGGTGAAAAAGGTAAGCTATTTATCGAAAACTACATTTTTTTCACGGCAAACGACTAACAGAAATGTATACCCGTATCAATATTCAATCCGAATCCGAATAACGGATCTTCTATCTTGCCAGCTTACATTAATTAAGTTTAAATTTTTGTTAGTCGAATCTATTGATTGCTCGACGGAATCCATTGATGAGGGCTAAAATAACTCTCAACTGCCAATTAAAAGAGCTGTCCTGTTTTCTTCGTTTATGGAACAAGTACACTCATTTGAAGAAAGACAAGATTTTACAGGTAACCGATAGCTCAACTGCAACATGTCATCAGCAAATAAATGGACCATACTCCATTTCCATTGTGATGAAATTAACTGTTTCTGGCATACAAGTTATATCTGAAAGCTACCGTTATCTAATTGCCGCCATTTGTCGAATGATTTACAGTCTTTTTTCATTTCTTTTTCTAAAATATCCGCGTGTATTTGGTAAAATATTCCAATATTTCAATATAAATATGTAGATAAGTGCATTTTTATTTTTGATTAATCTAAGATGATTATAGAGTAATATCTATTCTAAAGATTATTAACCATTTGACAATGAAAACTCAAACACATTTACAATCAATGATGTTTGAATTTGGAACCTCTAGGATAATAATCATCTATTTAATCATTGAATTAGCTTGATTCATGCGGATAAGTGCATTTTTATTCTGTTTTATGAATTTATATTTAAATTTGTGATTTTTCATCCCAACATTTATTTTGATAATAACCCGATAATTTATCCAATTACAATATAAGGTTGAAAAATATAAGTTTTTTATTTGGTGCAAACAAGGATGGATAGGAGGTAACTGAGAGTAATCATTTTCTCTAAAAGTTTTAAATTATTATATATTTTATATATATTTTATAACATTTTATTAATAATATATTTTATATATTTTTTATAACTTTTTATTAATAATATATTTTTACTCTTAAAATTTATAAATCTACCATCTTTTAAAATTTTATAAGTTACTCTCATTACATCATTTAATATAAAATGTTCTGTTTGTATCTCTTAATCTTCCTTTGCTAGCTATATTTATTTAAAGTAAATATGGTGGTTAAACTCACTGTACATGCGGTATATCATAAACAACTTATGCCAGCTGCTACCTTCAAAAAGAACCTCTCAACTACTTCCCGATGCAATCTTAATTATGGGTTATTCATCTTTTTTTCACAATTTAAATGCAAAAAAGTTGGAAAGCAAAAGATAAGGCCGAAACAATCCATTGAAGCATCACAAGAACAGTTGGTTCCAAAGTGTAACGAGTCAACAAGAAAATCAACTTATGATATATATATATATATCATATCTCTCTGTATTCTTGGCTTTGAATTGGAACATAATTATTTAATGAAAGAATTTATGGCGGGTTGAAAAATGAAAACCTTCAACCACACATCACCACCACAACCAAGTTGGTGTAAGCATTAACTAACTAAATCCATCTGCCACCTTGCATCCCACATTTAATACATATGGTGCTGGTTCATCACCATCCTATATAGTTATCCTACAGCTCTTAATCTTTTCAGGCTTTAGTATGGCTAGAAAAGAGCAAGATTTTCTGTCAACCGAGATCGTCAACCGTGGGATCGAGTCATCGGGTCCTAACGCCGGTTCCTTAACCTTCTCGGTTAGGGTTAGAAGGCGACTCCCGGATTTTCTTCAGTCTGTTAACTTGAAATATGTGAAGTTGGGGTACCATTATTTGATCAACCATGGGATATACTTGGCTACCATACCTGTCTTGGTACTTGTTTTTAGTGCCGAAGTGGGTAGCCTTAGTAGAGAAGAGCTTTGGAGAAGGCTTTGGGAAGATGCTCGTTATGATCTCGCCACTGTCCTTTCCTTTTTCGCCGTCTTTGTGTTCACTGTATCGGTTTACTTCATGTCACGCCCTCGATCCATTTATCTCGTTGATTTCGCATGTTACCGTCCCCACGATGATCTTAAGGTCAATATCTTTGATCTTTCATATGCATGAATCTTACAAAAAGATGTGTGTGGGACTGTGGGTTTTTTTTTTTTTTGCTTATAATTCCCATTTTATTGCAGGTGACCAAGGATCAGTTCATTGAACTTGCAAGAGCGTCAGGCAAGTTTGATGAGCCGAGCCTTGAATTCCAGAAGAGGATACTGAAAACATCGGGGATCGGTGACGAGACGTATGTTCCGAAGGTGATTATGTCGAAAGAAAGCTGTGCCACCATGAAAGAAGGCCGCCTCGAAGCGTCGACTGTGATGTTCGGTGCACTCGACGAGCTATTCGAGAAGACGAGGATTCGACCCAAGGATGTTGGGGTTCTTGTTGTGAACTGTAGCATCTTCAATCCGACGCCGTCGCTCTCGGCGATGATCATCAACCATTATAAGATGAGGGGCAATATTTTGAGCTATAATCTTGGCGGGATGGGGTGCAGTGCTGGGATTATTGCGGTGGATTTGGCTCGGGACATGTTGCAGGCCAACCCGAATAACTATGCTGTGGTGGTGAGTACTGAGATGGTAGGGTACAATTGGTACCCCGGTAAGGATCGGTCCATGCTTGTTCCGAATTGCTTTTTCAGGATGGGATGCTCCGCCGTGCTTTTGTCTAATCGCCGTCGTGACTACCGCCGTGCTAAGTACAGGCTTGAACACCTTGTGAGAACGCATAAGGGTGCTGATGACCGGAGTTTCAGGTTTGTTTACCTGTTCATGCGGGAACAGTTGATGCTATATTATAGCTTTAGTAGATGAATAAGTACTGCCCCGATAAATACGTATTTAAACTTTTCAGCCAACTACCTTCTAGATAATTAAACAGATTTTCATATAAAATAATAAAACATTTAAAACGTAACAAAATAAAATATAAATTTATTTGTTAAACATTTAAATACCTTTTTAGATATTTTATATTATTTATTTATTTTTATATTCTAAAATTTTATAAATTTTATGTTAATCCTATTTGTGGATCAGATCAATCTACCAAGAGGAAGACGAACAAGGTTTCAAGGGTCTTAAAGTCAGCAGAGATCTAATGGAAATCGGAGGAGACGCCCTGAAAACCAACATCACGACACTCGGTCCACTCGTTCTCCCCATCTCCGAGCAACTTTTCTTCTTCGCCACATTAATCCGGCGCCATTTCTCCGGCGTTAACAACAAATCCAAAACCTCACAATCGCCATACATCCCGGACTACAAGCTCGCGTTCGAACACTTCTGCGTGCACGCAGCGAGCAAAACCGTGCTGGACGAGCTGCAAAAGAACCTCGAGCTCAGCGACAACAACATGGAAGCCTCGAGGATGACACTGCACCACTTTGGCAACACGTCGAGCAGCAGCATATGGTACGAATTGGCGTATTTGGAGGCTACAGAAAGGGTTAAAAGAGGCGACAGGATCTGGCAGATCGCGTTCGGTTCTGGGTTTAAATGCAACAGTGCGGTTTGGCGTTCGATGCGTCGTGTGAGGAAGCCTTCCGGTCATAATCCATGGCTTGATTGCATAGATAGATACCCTGGAAGAGCTTGAAATTTGGTTTAATGGCTGCTGCTGCTTGCTTCATAATAACGGCATTAGAGCGACAGAATTGTTGGAAAATTGGCGTGCCATGTCGTCCCATTGTCATGAAAAGTTTCTTCATCAACTTAATTGTATGAAAAGAAAAAAAGTTTGTTAATTGGGTAAAATGCACTTCAGGTCACTCAATTATTAGTTCACTTATAAATGAGTCACTTTGTTTTGTTACCTAGGATTCAACAAGATTCAGAATAATATAATTGTGAGACAACTTCTGTGGGCTAATTTGCTTAAACAATTCAATACTAAAAGAATACAAGAAATTACAACATAAATGAAGTAAAGATCTTGCATGCTTAAATCCTTTTCAAGTTTACTTCACACCATTGTTTTTTCCTTCATACAGAAGCCTCGATCCTCGGCTCGAACGAGAACGCGGACACGAACTCCAACGATTCACCATTCATCCAACATTCGGGCAGTTCGACCCATCGGCTAGTCGCAAAATCATAGAGAACATAACTGCAAAGCTCAGCAGAGCTTAAGGAGATAAATATCTGATCACCAGCACCAACACAGTTTATGTCCAACTTCTTGTCATAGGACTCATGTGACATTGCAGGCGGCATAGCAGCAATCTGATTCCATGTCTTCATTTTCAGATCGGATCGCCACACCCTAAGGCTAGCACTTTCGAAGAATTCGGATAACACGACGACCAACATCTCTCCTTTACACTCTACCACATCGATAGAGTACTCGGAAAAGAGCGGCAACAGTCTCGGATATTTGGAGAAACACTTCCGGGTCAGATTGCAAGCAATTACTGTGCCTGAGGGACCGAGGAAATAAACAATCTCCTCACCATCTCTAAGTGTAAACACTGACGAATATTGCTTGGATGGGCTTCTTTGCATGTTGGTTATGACTACATTTCCAGCTTTACTAAGGAAGTAGAAGGCATCGTCATCATCGTTGCTATGGTCGTCGTCATCATTTAAGTATGATTCCGTATGGTCATCGGCTTCTCTCCTCAATATTATCTCTTCTTCCCAGCAATTATCAATTGAGTTATAAACTTTGAATGCAAGCTTTGGGAGATCACCAGAGACTAAGAAATGCTTGTATGAACCATGGTAATTGGAATACGCATTCATTGCAATAGCATGAAGGGAATGTCCCTGAGAGTCTGTATCCACAGGAGGGAGTTCACGACAAGATCCGGTCAAGGGATTGCACACGATATAACCGCCGGACGTATTCCGGAAACATACAAGGCCACCGGACGATGCGACCGGAATCGAGTCGCGATTATGGTTATGCAAGAGGGAATGCGGATGATTGAGTCCTTTCCAACTTTCGGCAGAGTCGAAGACTACCGACCGATTAAGCTTGGATTCCACCATGAAAAACCATGGATCCCTTGAAGGAATCCTCGAGCAAGCGTGCTTGAAACTTTCCGATTCCGCCACCGATTTCCATCTCTTGCACACCGATCCGATGCGAAATAACGTCGAAGTCGGCAGCCATGAAAGGACTCTTTCCAAAAGGGCTTCATTGACATCATCCAAGGAAAAATCCAACACCTCATGGCCTTCTTCTTCAAGCAACTTTCTCTTCCTAGATGGCCTTGAAAGGCAGCCATTGGCAATTTCCATTGACAGATAACTTCACAAAATCAACTGCAATAAACAAAAATATTACAGCACACACTACTAATAAGTGACTATCAACACGAATCATCAAATTATACCATCAAACAAAGGAATCGAACAAGAAACCAACTTGACCTCCACCTAATTTCACTTCGATGAAAAATAAATTTGGGAATCCATCATTTGAAGAAGGAAAACTCAAAAAACTACAAAAAGGGTGTATTTTTTTATTAAAAAAACATAACAAAGCTAAAACATAAGCGGATAAAAGAAGAAGCTTGAAATAAGAGAAGATGAGGGGATAAAGAAGGAAAATGTACCTATTGATGGTAGGGAAGCTAAAGGGGAAAGAGAGTGCGCAAGAGTAGCAGTAAGTGAAACTTGGACTGTGACATTGTGGGTTTTAAAAGAGGGACAAATTTGAAAGAGGCCCCAAAGGCCGAAGCAAAGCAAAAGTACAAAAGAGAGAGCAAACAGTAGAGATATTAGCAGGATGGTAAACGGGTACATTTTCGTGGATTCTGTATCGCATCCGCTCTAATTGGAGCGGGGATGGATATAATTTTAGCGGGTAATGGGCGGGTGTGGATTTATAAAGTGGTACCCGTCGTGGGTGGTGGGCGGGTAATGGGTTTGAGATATTACCCGCCCCGTATCCGCCCGCCCCACATCCGCCTGCCCAGTTAAATATCTATTAAATTTTGGACTATTATAAATTTAGGTATAATTTTAGAGACTAATTTATAAATTTTAATATTATATAATATATAACATATAATTTAATTAAATATTAAGGATATTTAGTCTTTAATCTGATATTTAATTAGGGAAATATTCAGCTCTTTGATTAAACCCATAATCCTACTAACCACGTCACTTTCCATGTTCTTTAGCTCATGCTGCCCATCCAAACATAAATTAGTCGTACTATAAACATTAACATCAAAAGCAACAGTTTACATGTTCTTTAGCCCATCAAAACCTATATTAGGCGCACTATGAGCATTAACATCAAAAGCAACACAACAATCTAGCTCTGCGACTACATGTTCCCTACAATTTGTCTCCATAACATTCGTAGAGCTATTCCTCTGACAAATTGAAGCATGCGCTGCTACCCCATCACGAACTGTCTGGGAACCAACTCCAACATCTCATTAGTTTGTTGTCAGGCGGGTTTAGATGGGTATGTCGCTAGTGGGTAGTGGGTGTGGGGATCGATTTGAAAATATACCCGCGTGGACGGGTGTGGATTTGAAAATTTGTACCGATCATGGGTGGTGGGCAGGTGGTGGATTGAAAAATAGTAGGTGGGTATGGAGATAGGGGAGGGGGTATCCGTACACAACCAGCCCGTTTGCCATCCCTAGATATTAGCAAAGTAAAATGAGGGTTTTTCTCTCTCTATGGTGCGTTTGGTTTACCGAATGTAAGATTATCAGTAGGAATAAAAGATTATCAGGGAATAGTATTACTAGGAATGTTGTATTTTGTGTTTGGTTAGTTTAGCAGGAATGTAAGATTAACGTGTTTGGTTAAAGTAATAAAAGATTATTAGAATGTATATTTGAACAAATTGTCTATATTATATATTTGTTTTTTAACAAGTTGGAAAATATTTATATATTTTCTTTAAAAATTTATATAATTTTTTTACAAAATTGACAATATAAAAAAATTTAATAAAATGGTAAATTTTTATTTTAACCCTTGAACTTCATATAAAATTTTAATTATAGATTTTTTTAAAATCTAAAATAGTTTAAGGATAAATTTGTAATTTAACATTCGTAAAATTTTTATTATTCAATGAAAAAATAAAAAATATTTTTTAAAGACATTTTAGTCCAAAACGTTGGTAATCCAACAATACCTAAGGAAATGGAGATAATGACATTCCCGGTAATATGTCCCAAAATATCCACTATTAGTAATGTAAAATTATCGTGAATGACGTTTCCTGCCAACCAAATAAGGAAATGTGGATTTCATTCTCATAAAAATCTCACATTCTTCCGATCAAACACACCCTCGTATGTACACGAAACTTCCTCGGGGTTGCTCTTTTTGTAATCGTTGACGCATTGTAGGCACGAGCGACGTATCAAAGCAAATATTTAATATTTACAAAAGAGTAAAATATATTTTTCATCACTCAATTGTAACCTCACTTATGTTTTGATAACTAAACTTAAAAAAAATCAATTTAATAGTTGAATTTTAAAATTACTTATAATTTAATCACTCCAACATTAAATTAGACACAGCATAGGGATGTGACAGTCTTCGATGACATGGACTAGTTTTTACGGACAAATTGTCATATGTAGTCCAACTCATTTTTTTCTTTTATGTTTTTTTAAAGATGAAATTTTTACCTTTTGTCATACCAAAATTTGAATCACACCTTTTTGGTATTATTTTTTTCTGATCACATAAGATATTATGAACTCATCTTGTTATTCTCTCTTCCTATAAGTTTAAATTTTTTTTAAATCTCTTCAAAATTTATAAAACTCAACTCCAAATCTAAAATCACTTCGATCTATAATATCCATCATATAATCAACGTAAAATTAAGATATATAATTCTTCTTTTTTTCCATATTTTTATCATTGGGATTTAGAAGGAAAAAAAGATATTTTATCATAGAAAATTTAAGGATTTTAAATTAGAATTCTTTTTTAAATATAAAAACACTTTGAGGACATTTCACATTTTTAAAAAGAATAATCTCAATCGTAATGTCATTAAATATTTAAGGTGAGAATGATCAAAATAAAACTAATTTAATAATTAAATTAAATATTTTAAAGTTTAATAGTCAAAACAGGAGTAAGATTAAAGTTGAGAGGTGAAATTTATAATTTACCCTTGAAGACAGAAACAAGAGTGAGAGTGAAGGTTTCACTCACACACTAGCGCGCGAGCGCACGTGTAAAGAGAGTAAAGATAAGACAGCAAATGAAACAAAAATGTAGGATGAGCTGACAGTCGAAAACTCGGGAAGTAAGTGTGCAAGGGATTAGATTCTGGGTTTAGGGTTATTTCCATGGGGATTTTGGTTAGCTGTTGTTTCTGCACTTTAAGCATAAACTAAAGTGAGAACGCACGTAGCTGGGGTTGAGTAAAAGAAAAGAAAGTGAAAAAGAAAATGGCATTTCACCGTTTCCACGTCTATCTTATCAGCTGACCTTTGTAAAGCAAAAACATCGAAAGAAAGATACTTTGGGGGTAGAGTTTTTGCTTTGCTTTTGTTACGCCTTCCTCGTTGAGGAATCTCATCTCTCTCTCTCTTTCTTTTCCTTTTCTTTATTTTCTGTATCAAAAGTCAAATTGCTCCCCAGAAACAAGAACTAATTCATATATATGAAAACCCTAATAATGAACTCAGAGGATTAAACAAAGAAGAAAAGCCGCAAATCACGTTGTTTCTTTTTTTGCATAAGCTCTCGTGTAATCAAACAGGGAGACTCGGATCTCAATGCTTATCTTACATGGACGGGGCCCTACTTTTCTTAATAAATCAGCCTGCTTTTGTTTTAGCCCATTTTTCTGCTCACAATTAAAGCCCTTTCAAACATATATATATATATATATGATTAGGTAAATTATATCATATATCATTGAACTTTAAGTGTTATATCATTTATACCATTAAATTTTTAATTTTATCAATTATAATATTAAATTTAGGCGTGTGTTCGTTCAAACAACATTTCCGCTCTCCTTATTCAAAAAAAATAAAAAACATTTCTGCCCTCCAAAACATTCAACCAGCTCTTGTCTAAGCTGGCCTAGGCAAGAAAGTAAAGGTGACGATGCCACTAACGCCGATGTCTACTAGACTGACAGAGGACTACTGTCCGGTGGTGATTCCTGTTCCGGTATCCATGGCCTAATGATTGAGATCATCAAGTTCTTTCAAGACAATGTTGGCATTCACACCATTAACATCAAACCTTTCCATGTCTCCAAGCTGACCCCAATTTCGCTAAAGAATATGCCTTCTTCAGCAACACGGCTAGTCCCGTCGTGGATGGTCCATTGTTTACACCGGGACTGTTTACGATGCCAACTTTGATACCCGCATTTCACTCTCGAAAAGAACGGGTTTGGACAAATGCCGGTTGTCGTTGGAGAAGTCAGCTGGCAGACTGATGCTGACCCTAACTCGAACATAGACAACACCTGCAGGTTCAACCAAACCCTTGTAGACCGTATTGCCAAGGGGCAAGGCACCTCGAAACGCCGAACCACGACTGATGTTTACATATTTTCACTCATCGATGAAGACAATATGAGTGTCGAGCCAGGGAACCTCGAGAGGCAATGGGGTATCTTCAATTACGATGGAAGTGTCAATATGGGGAAAGGCAAAGCCATTGTCCCGGCAAAAGGTGTCAAGTACTTGGCCAGGCAATGGTGCGTGTTATCGCATTCAACAGGCCTTCTGGACCCCGATGTTTTGTCTCAAAGCATTAGCCACGCTTGCCAATATGCCGATTGCACGGGCCTTAACCTCAGATCCTCGTGTGGCAATCTAGATCCGCAACATAATGCTTCGAACGCGTTTAATATGTATTACCAGACCATGAATCAAAGGAAAGATGCATGCTCTTTTAATAACTTGTCTTTGGTTATGACCGTGGATCTGTCTCAGCCACCTAATCGTTACGAGATCATAATCGACATCGGCAAACATGACCTCTCTGCCTCTGGCATTGCTACAGTGGCCAGAATCCGAAGATGGAGTCTTTTGTTTCTTCATGTTAAAATTTTCTTAGGACTGTTAATAACCACTAAAATCACTCAATAAATTCTTATATATTACTTAAATTTTGGATACGGGTATATTTTGGTCACGAGCAGCAACTAGTGATGTCTGACAATCTCAACAATTTGCCTTATCTGATCTAACATTGGTCTATAAAAACAGAAAAAGATCCTCTTAGCTTCTGCAATAGCCTTCAATGGCTTCCACCATTATACCAATATTCATCTTCTTTTTCTTCTCTTCAACTTCCTCTCTCAACGTTTCTTCAGCAAATTCTCTGAACCCAAATCTCACTTCCATACGAAGCTTCTGCAAATCAACTCCATACCCAGGTTCTTGTTTCGATTCACTGAAGCTTTCCATTTCAGTAAACATCAGTCCCAACATGCTTTTCTACCTCCTTCAAACCCTCAAAACTGCATTATCCGAGGCCGCGAAGCTAACAAGTTTATTCTCCAATGACGGAAATGGAAACGTGATCGTCGAGAAACAAAGAGGAGCATTGCAAGATTGCAGGGAACTCCATGAATCAACACTATCTTTGTTGAAAAAAACAGTGTCGAGAATCGAAGATGAAGATTCGAGGAAGATAGTTGACGCGAGAGTCTATCTCAGTGCAGCTCTCACGAGCAAGGATACATGTTTAGAAGGGTTAGATTCTGCATCTGGTCCATTGAAACCTGTTATTGTGAAATCTTTGCTTAGTACTTACAAACATGTGAGTAACTCTATTTCGATGCTGCCCAAGTCGGGAAAACGGCATCGTAATCGTCGGCGCTTGCGAGGCATCGACGACGAATATGATCCAAGCAAAGTGCTGACCGTTGCGGCCGATGGCACGGGGAATTTCAGCACCATTGCCGAGGCTATTATCTTTGCTCCTAAGAAAAGCAAAGAGAGGGTAATGATCTATGTTAGGGAAGGGGTTTACGAAGAGAATGTGGAGATCCCGAGCAGTAAAACCAACATTGTTTTGCTTGGAGATGGCAGTGATGCCACTTTCATTACTGGGAAACGAAGTGTGGGTGATGGCTGGACCACTTTCAGATCTGCAACTGTTGGTAATTTCCGAAACTCGGTTTAGAATTTTGATTTCATCGGATGCTCACCGAAGAAACGTCTCGGAATCCAATGATCATGGAGAACATCGTCGTTTTAACTCGTTTCACTTGTAAATTTATGTTGCAGCGGTATCCGGGGAAGGCTTTTTGGCTCGGGACATAACCATAGAGAATATGGCAGGGCCAGAAAAGCATCAAGCAGTTGCATTAAGAGTAAATGCAGATTTCGCTGCATTCTACAGATGTGCCATCAATGGGTACCAGGATACGTTATATGTCCATTCTTTCCGACAATTTTACCGCGAATGCGACATATCAGGGACCGTAGATTATATATTCGGAAACGCTGCTGCGGTGTTCCAGGCATGTAACATAATCTCAAGGATGCCGATGCCAGGTCAGTTTACCGTCATCACAGCTCAATCTCGAGATGCCCCGGACGAGTACACTGGGATTTCGATCCAGAACTGTTCGATTCTCGCCACGGACGAATTGTACGGGAATTCCAGCAGCGTTAAAAGCTACCTAGGGAGACCATGGAGGGTGTATTCCACCGTAGTTTTTCTCGAATCCTACATCGATGATCTTATCGATCCTAACGGATGGAGAAAGTGGTCTAGTGATGAGGGCTTGGACTCCCTTTATTACGGAGAGTACAATAATTTCGGACCGGGTTCGAATACAGATAATCGAGTCGCCTGGCCTGGATATCATGTAATGGATTACGAGAATGCATATAATTTCACAGTCTCGGAGTTCATCACGGGTGAAGCTTGGCTGGATTCTACATCGTTCCCATATGATTATGGGATTTAAATTTTATCAGCTTCTATTATTGTGGTGACTGATAAAGCTCTAACAGAGTAGCCCACGGAAATGGTTTTCAGTTTGACAGGTCAGATCCACATGTATGTGTTGTCTTTTTCTTTTGGTAAGTAGCTTTAGTATGTACTTTAAAACTGTAAAAATTGAAAAATTCCAAGCGGAAATTGTCCATCGCGACTTGATTGAACTGCAAACACCGTACGTTGCTTTGGCATGTTCATCATGTTGCCCGTGAAAATGTAAGATGGGTACATCATGTATCTTTTGCTCTTGAAATCTGTGTCCACTTTTAAAATATCATTGCCAGATTAATATTCGCATATAGAGAAATAACCCTTTAAAAACTAGAAATGATAAAAAATAATAATAATCCGAATATAATTTGATCCGATTAATTTTAAAAAAAAAAAATAAGCTTGATGATGAGACGTATTTTCAATTAAAATTATCAAGTTCAGTCTAGGATCGTGTTTTTAGATCAAACCTAAAATTTCACCAAAACGGGCACTTTTGAGACAATTTTTGCTCTAAGTACCTAAACTATTTTGGTTTCTCAAAATATCCACTACAGCGAACCTAATGACTAATTCTTCGCATCCTGCAGGCCTAAATAAAAAACAGGTCGGACTCGAGTATTAGAATTTGAAGCAAAAAACTTCCCGCCCCGTCCCACTACCGTCCCTGTTGAAACACCCTCATATACATGAGAATCTTGAAAGAGAATGAACATATCCGTTTTCGTACTCCATTCAATGTCCACTGAACTAACTATGTAGATTGGCGGTTATGATGAGATTTTTAACGAGGCCATCTTTCTATAAAAAAAATATCCATTTTCGTACACATACCTCCGTCGGGCACTCATCCAGTCCAAATAACAGAACGCCAATGATAATTTTTTTCCAGAAGCTTAGGTTACTGTAGTTGTGTTATGGATGGAATTAGGATAGACAGACAAAACAGATGGATATATAGTAGCCTGATATAACGAAAATACGATCTCATAAATGGAAAATACGATCAACAATGGTTGCAAAGATATAGTACGGGCAGAATTTCATGCTCTTGGGATGGGGAAAAAAGATCTGGACGTGAGAAATAAATATTCTGAAGACTAAATCATTTTATACGACATTTTTTTTTCTAACTTATCTACCAATATAACCTTATGAACATCCTAAACCAGGATATATATTAGCAGAAAAATACTGAATAAATTTGAGTTGAGTCGAGTCGAAAGAATTTGGTTGTCCTTTCGCTAGCTCGAATCATTACAGGAGGTTGTCCAGCTGTGATTCCAGTTCTTCTATTGCGATCATGTTGATGGTACGCTTTTCTTCTGGAGAATACTCTGCTTTTAAAAGGTATTGAATTTGGATATGGGCTTCCACAATATTTGTCCTGCATTAATATAAGAGTCACCTTACTCTGTTGTCAGATTGTCTACTATGCTCCGACTGTTTAGAAAATCTAACGTTATAAAACAAAGTACTCTCCGATTAGGTCATTCGTAGTCCTCGACTACTAACTTGGGCTTGGATGTGAATGTTAGATATAGCTAAGTATCCAACACACAGATATGTTCATCATTTTTCTATGTTTTTCATGTATTTGAAAAATCCTAATAGGATTATATTTCCATGCATGTCCGGATATGCATCAAACATGAGTTTTGGTCAATGGACACGGATACTTCATGAAAAATAAATAGCTGGAATAACATAGATCTTTGATACACAACTGTGAAGTTTGTTTTGAATTTGAGTCAGACATCTTACCTGATTGGTTTGAAAAGAATTGTTCTTGTCAATGGGTTCTGTAAATAGAGTTTCATCTTTGCTATCACCACTGGAAGTTCTTGCTGAATAGCTGAATGTACCTGTTATAAGAAATGTAAATAATCAATCCGATGAATCTAAACCTTGAATAATAGAGAATTTTTATAATATGCAACAGCAGTATGAATCTATTTGACAAGATCAGCCTTTCAAGTCAATAAGAAGGATGACAAATAAGTTGTTTGAAAAAAAATGAAGACGATGAAGAAGAAGAATTATCAGCATTAATTAAAAAATTCCAAGGTATTTTGAAGATACACAGGTATGGCATTAATGCCATTTAGGGGAAAATATATACTTAGCTCCGGTTTATACTTGAAATGATAATCATACTCTTTCTGTCTTGGACCGGGCCATGCTGGGAGTGGCTTCATGCTTGCTAATGTCGATGTCTCATTTAGTTGGGAGTTATTTCTATTGTGGCTTTCTTCTATATATACGTAGTATACAAATATGCTGGCTTAACACACCTTCTGAACAAGTTCAGTCACCGCCTCTGGCGTAGCAAAGGCTTGTTCCTTGAGTGGTTTAGCCATTACCAAGTTAATTTTTTGATTCCGAGTACCAGAAGACAACGCGACTTTTACAGCTGTTACCTGTAGGTACAAATATAAAAACATTAGACGTTTAGTCAAGAGTCAAACCCCAAAAAAATCCATTACCATTAAAGTTATCCTTTGATTCAGCAAAGATGGAAACATCATATTTGGTTAAATATCACATAGCACACTGAAGTAAATACTTGTATCCAAGCTGGAAAGGTCCAATCAAAGGGACCTGATCTTATTTTGCAAGAAATATATACTCATCAGAGATTCTAGCATCTTTAAGTTGTGAAATGGCCAATTAAGGAGATAAAAGATAAACCTTGGTAACAAATGAAAGCATAGGATCCACTACTTGCTTGGTGACTGCCATAATAAACTCCTCACAAGTTGCCTTTAAGCTTTTCTCCAGTTCCTGCAAGTAAACGACCACAGAAGATATCTTATGCTATTGACGACAAAGCAGAACCCCAGCATCAAGCCATGTTGTTTCCACAGAAAGGGTGAAAAGAGGATAAGGTGGGATGCAGCAGCGAAGATAGTATATAATTGCAGGAGAGAGCTTCACAAGCACACATATTATTTGGGAATAAACAATTATTTGCTTCCAGGGTATAAGATTCAAAATTTCATATATTACTTTATTAACTTCTCATAAACTAACAAAACAAATAATGGGAGGGAATGCATTTGCATAAGAAATGATGTAATGAGGGAATGGCATCCAACTGCCATTTATTAGAATGATAGCCCATACAAAAGAATCCCTATTGCTCGCAGGCAAAAGCAACGAGTTGGTTCTGAGTATTACTAAGAAGAGGATCCATCACTGCAGGAACCTCCGCAATGATCAAAGCACTCAAACATGATGATGAAGATCATAGCAATCCCATATGCCCCTTTTATTTTAATCCCTCAACTACCACAAATAGCTCTCTCTGCCCTGAGCTTGTTCTCCATTGTTTCACTAATTCACGTGTTTTGTAGATGATTTCCCGTAACAGATACACCCAAGATGGTACATAGCACTTCAATTCATTGACTGTAAAAAGATATCAAAAGGTAAAATGCTAACCTTCTTGGCATCTACTTGACTTTCCAAAACACGGGGAGATAAGGTCCTTGCTAATGATGTTGACATAGACCAGTCAAATAGTGAGGCCTAACCTCGAAGTATTCTTCTCAGGTGTTCCTGTCAAAGACATTTGAAGACAACTATAGCTTTAATTCCATGTAAAAGAAAGGTAAAATATGTATGAACTTGCAGAGATGGAAAAAACTGGAAGTTGGAAACCTAAACAACAAAGGAATCTTAAGAGGAGTATTATATTTCTTTTTATTGGTCCCACTTCCATGCTGAAACTCAAAAAAGCTTCCTCCTAGGAATGCTAAAGAACTAGCAAAGATTATAAACACCAAGTTCACTGAAAGATAATTTAGCCTAAGAGAAACTTACCAGTGAATGAGAGAAATCAAGTTCTTTGTGTGTAACTGAGAATTCTATTTCAAATGGTGCTATCTGCAAGGCCAGAACTCATTACAGTTATATCCTATTAATTATCAACAAAAAAAAAGATGGGTAGAAAAGATAACCTGTTCCCTTATTATCAGAAGATGTTTTATGAGGAAGAGCTGCCCATCCATTGGCGTGGATCTCTTTGCAATTATTTTGCTTGCTTTCTATGTACAATTTGAAAGACAAAAGAGGGACAAATGCAAATGGTTAAAAATCCAACCATGCACATGCCATGTTTGAGAACATGTTAAAGAGCAAATATCCCATCAAATTCATCATAGATGGGACAATATTATTTCGTTAAAAAAAAAAACCAAGCTTATCCACGTATAGAAATGGTACAAGTATAGAGCAAGATTTTTCTTGTAAAAGCAAAGAACGTAAGACCTTAAACAGTTTGACTAAATTGTTTGTTCAACTAACTTACTTGGATTGAAACAGAACAAACATCCACAACTTCCTGAGAAAAAACAGCACAAAATTAACCCTTTAACACGAATAAGCAAATTGAAATACTTCTAGAAATTCAGTAGATAGAAACTAAGAGTGATTATCCAGACTCAAAGCACCTGGGCCAAGCCAGTGAACACTTCTGGTTCCATAGAGCGATATAATTTTGAGAGAAAAGATATGGTTTTCTCCAATGGTGGATACCAAGTTTTGAATACATCTGGGTTTGCATCAGTCTGCAGACCAGAAGGAAAAAAAACAATGTAGATAGTAGTGTTAACTATGGCACAATTATATTCCCAAACAGGGAAAAGAAAGAAAAATTCAAACAGACGAGTTATGTGCTACTAATCTTGCCAACATCAATATTCAGATATGTTGAAGCTGCAGTAACTGACACTGCATACTTTTCACTAAGCGATTACTGTGACATGTCATCAATTAGATTGTTGGTGACCAACGAGGACAAGCCACAGTCAACACATATGGTTCCTCATTCAAGGAATTTGAACAATGGACAGGTACAACTGTTAGGTTGTTGAATAATCCAAGAAATTGTCTAAATGCATACAAACAGTCAAACATATAATACAGTTATTATGTTTGAGCACAAAAGGAGGAGATAACTGAACACAAATTGCAGAAACTAAGTTAGGTCCTATAATAATGGTACAAAAGAGCATTGCATAGAGATTTGAATTAGATTTAGAAACAATGTTGACTTGCAGGAAAGTAGCTTCCCAATTTTGTCAAACAAATGTGAAGATCCATGAAAAATAATCATCTATAGGAGAAGCGAAAAAGTGTTGAGAAAACTTACAGCAGTTTCTGACTTCACATCTGCAAAATGCTCCA